TGACAAATGTGAACTGGTGGTGCCCAGGACAGAAATGTTACATGACAAATGTGAACTGGTGGTGCCCAGGACAGAAATGTTACATGACAAATGTGAACTGGTGGTGCCCAGGACAGAAATGTTATATGAGAAATGTGAACTGGTGGTGTCCAGGACAGAAATGTTACATGACAAATATGAACTTGTGGTGCTCAAGACAGAAATGTTACATGACAAATGTGTAGAAGGTTTGGCTAATGAAGACTACTCACTGAAACAGATTGTGGCAAAATTAATGTTTTAGAAGGAGCTGTGTTGAAACTTTGAAGAGAGTACATGAAACTAAAACTGTTGATTATAGCATGGTAATTAGTTCAATTACTTGTGACCATCATAAACATTGATCAGTGTCATGTAAAAAACTAACCAAAATTACAATTAAATCTATTAATGTCATAAAAATAGTGAACTAACTAAAATTAGTGTTTCTGATTATTACTATTTTCAATTGTTCAAACTATTCTAGTGATTGAAATATTATAATTTCTCACAATTATTTTTGATTAAATCAATGTTGTTCAGCTTAATCGATTAGTATCATGACTCATGAAAGTAATCAACTAATTGAAATTAGTGTTTCTGGTTATTACTATTTTTGATAGTTCCAACTACCCAAGTCTCATACGAGAATAATCAGTTATAAAATTCTGCCAATAACCCAGTTCTACTATTGATAATAGAAGAAGTCAAGGCAGAAAATTTCTAAAAGTGATGTTAAGTAACTCTGGGCATGATCTGAATGTTATACTTACCAGGGTCATCCTTTTTTTTTTTGCTGTAGACTGTCAATGAAACTTAACCTACCTTTTTATAATAATGGTAATACTGCACCAAATAATGTTTCATTTAATTAAATAAAGCATTAAAGAACATAGAATAATAATGTAAAAACAGAAAATGTCCTAAAACTATCACAATGTTTCTGGCTTTCTAACTATGTGACAACAGCCATTAAAAATTCAGCTAAGTTTGTTGATGTGTTTCCTGTGGGAACTGGAAGTGAAATAGACAATTCTCTGTACAGAAAACAAGATGATATATAATTTGATAGATCAAAACTTTGGCTTTCTGTTATTTATAAATAATATAGTACTAAATGTCATAGAGAACTACTGTTTGTTTATGAATGAGAGGATGTGACAGGTAGGCATGGCAATTGGGGTCTGATTTTCTAGTTTATGGCTATGTAACCAAATAAGATTGAAGGCTATAAAAATTATGAGACTGTCAGTCATGTATTGATGGAGGCTATCCTGTAATGTATTTATTATTGTTATTGTACTGAGGTATCTTAAGATTTACTTAAACTTATTTATTAAAAAATGACATAAAATTATCAAGATTTTGATAGAGAGAGGAACAGGACATTTCATTGAATTAACTCAGCATTTTAAAGTGTAAATATTATGCCATTTTCTGATTTGGAGTTATTATTGGTTCTACAGTTTGCTGCTAATGGCTCTATGTAGCCCTATGTTTCTTTCACAGTTACTGGGTGACTATGGCATCACAGCAACAAGATCTTGGTTGAAAGCTTGATGTTGCTCAGGAATAAGATTACTGCATTAATCACCACTAACTGGCTGGCACTCTTTTGTTTAAAAATTCATGGATAGTTGAATAACGTAGCAAGAGGGGCAGGAATGAGAATATTACTAAATCTTTTCTTTTTATTGTTGATTGGCATTTACGTGAGAGAAAAAAGGTAAAAAGAAGTATAAACACATAAAACATGTTTGGTACAAGTACACAATAAGTTGGTGTTCCATCTCATGATAAGCTTTTGAAAATGTATATTTTTAGGTTCCAAGTAAATAAGAAGTTTCTTTCATTGTCTGAAGCAAACACAGTTGTTAAGGTTCCAGTTGTAACAGTTGTATGGATAGTAAGCTCGTTTTGTGGATTATCAATAACTAGAATTTCAAAGTTAAGTATAAAAGTCATTATTCCAGCCAATTAAACAATTTAGTTTCAATCCATATAAACACTTAATGGTTTATTTTTCTCTTACTTCAGCTTTTTGATAATGATAATGTATATTTACACTATACTAAATAAAAATAAAATTGTATGTCTGAAAAGAAACTAAAGAATAAACAGCAAAAGAAGAAAGCAGAATAACCTTTTAACTTTCTGAATGGTTTGTACATAAGTAACCTCAATTTTGAAATAGAATAATGGGCTTCCCTCAAACATTTTTTAAACTTGAATTATTTTTTGTATTATAGAAATTCATATTTTGAAACTTCAATTATTTGTCCCAATGAAAATATAATAACCTAGCAGTTATTTTTTGAAATTTTAATCATATTACAAAGCAAGTTTTATAGAATAAGCCAACTGAATTTCTAAAAGAAATATCTAATGGATAGGCTACAATATGACCAGTATAATCTCTTAAGTACTTTCATGGACAATTCAAACAATATGCAAAATGAAATTTCTTACAACACCATTATGCATCAGCAGGCTTGCTTAACATATCCAAATTATTGTATGTTCTGTACATCACAAAGATAAAAATCATTGAATCACTGAAATTTTCCATATATTGTTTTTCTGGATACACCAAATCTACACTGCCAATAGCCAGTAAATGACAAGTCTATAAACTGGGAAAATATCAGCTTTTCATCACTGACAGTTTATATAAGACAGTAAAAAGTCAAGTTCAAAATGCTGAAATACTAGTCTTCTAAGCTTTTCAGTACATCAAGGTTTTCTTTTTACAATCTTTTCTTTACCACTGAGCAAAGTTTTAAGGTCTTCTGCATCTAAGGTCTCATACTTGAGTAAGGCTTCAGCTATCACTCGATGCTCTCGACTATGATTTCGAAGGATATTTTTGGCTCGTTCAAATGACTCCTGAGAAAAGTAAAATAAAGTTATCAATAACTGATTAGTGATGTATACCTGTTAAGAAATCTTTATATGAAACTAAGCTCTTCTGGAAATAATCGGCATATAAGTACGTTTGGTATTTTCAGTGTCAAAGAAACATTTAAAACAAAGTTTTAATGACATATACATTAAACTTACACACACACATACAGTAACATATAACTTAAGTTAAGCAGAAGTTTCATCTTATAGTCATAGCATTACATCTGAATGTAATTAAAGAATCTTGTTTCTCTGACATCCTTAAAAAACATGAGTGTAATTCACAAGTAATGCACATATATTGCATTTTCCCCATGTTCAAAACTTTATTGACAAACTTTCAACCTTATCATCAATACAATAGATACACAAATTTCTTACTATTTGACCATTATATCCGAGTAGTTATTTCCGAACTAAAAAATAAGAGCTTAAATATAAAATAGTAGTATTAAAAAAAAGAAAAAGTATAAAAATGAGTTAACAAACAACTGATCTTTTGAGTTTGTTTTATGATATTTTAAAATATGTTCAGTAACTACTGAGTTTAACTGCAACTTAATTACAAAATGCAACTGCATCATAACATCATAAACTTCTCTGCATAAAATTTCCAAAACCTCTTATGTTGCAGACATTTGATAGTTTCCTATTGGTTAGCAGTATACCTGAATATCACAAAATTGAGTTACATCTTGGTGCTGTGACCAAAGATTTGTATATTGAAGAGTTTATTTTGAATGTACTTTTCCATATGACCCTCTGGTTCTGTATATTTTGTAACTGTGACCATGAAAAGGCACTTTTTAGACCACATGAAACTTACAGTGTAAAGATGGATGCTGCATTTGAAACAGGGACATGACCTGAGAATACTTCAAGTTCTAAGAATGTTACTTTCTTGAACCAAGAGCTTTTGCTGGCCATGGTAATAGCTATGTCCACATTCTTAGGACTGAGATGTTACCTTTCACATGTAAGACAGGTCATTGTGACAACAACCAGTCTGGATATCCTGAGACTTACTTGTATAGTTTCTAAGGAACTCCAACATATTCAAGATCTGGTTCAGGCATCTAAGAACTGGTATGAATCACCCATAATCAAGTAAAGTGGTGAAAAGTGTGCAGTGAGTAAATTTCCTTATGGACTGCCATGAAGGTAATAATCTGAATTGTCAGCATCTCACTGAGATCCAGCAGATCATTGGGTCAGTCAGGAGCTTATCCAGTCAGCAAGATACATTGGTGATGCTCAAAGGCTATGGTCAGCAGTTTAGGTTAATGCAAAAGATGACATGTATTCCTTGGGCAACAGTAACTTGCTTTAGGCTTCACCCAAGGATGAGTGCATCTCCAGATTACTTACAGAGAAGGATGAGGCCTCTCCAAAATGATGGCAACATCTCAGCTTTTAGTTATGGTGGTGGCATGAAACATGTAAACCCATCAGTCTTTAAAGAAACAGTGAAGAAGGATTTTAACTGTTTTCTCAAGCTATTAACCCTTTGGTATCCAGCTGGGTCCAACCTTCCCTGAGGCCAAAACTGCACCATTAAATATAAAACATGAAAATGCTAAGAATCATTGGGAGTGCTTCACACTGTGGAAAGAAATTTAGCTGAAAATAGAGGAGTTACTGACGCAGAACTTCAGTCACAGATTGAGAAGGAATAGCAGAAGTGGTGTGATATCTTGACAAGAATCCTTCACTGCATAAAATTCCTTGCGACTCAGAATCTGGCTTTGCGAGGACACAGAGAGTCACTTCAGCTAGATGATGACTTCAATGTGGGAAATTTCCTTGGCTTACTGAAACTACTGGCCATCTTTGATCCTGTCATGAACGAACCCCTCACTCGCGTGGAAAGCCATCCTGGATCCATGTCTTATCTTTCATCGGGTGTCCAGAACGAATTCATCCACATGATGGCATCCACTGCTCGCCAGAGTTTACTGAGAAGCATTCATAAAGCCAAGTACTATGGTCTCATGTTTGACTTGACTCCTGATCAGGCACACCGTGAGCAGATGTCAGAAATAGCGAGGTACATGGAAGCTGATTTTGAGAGGAAAACAGTCCATGTTAGAGAGTCCTTCCTTGGTTTTATCCAGATAAGACAAAAGGATGCTGAGAGCATGAATGAAGACATCTTGAAACAGCTAGAGTAAGATGAAACAGAGCAACAAGATTGTCAGTCACAGTGCTATGACAATGCTGCTGTGATGGCTGGACACAGAAGTAGTCTTCATCAAAAAATAAGTGAGAAAAACAACCTGGCAGTGTTTGTGAATTGCGACAATCACTCACTCAACTTGGTGGGTGTACATGCAGCCAAGCAGGATACAATGATGGTCACATATTTTGGAATCATCGAAGCTCTCTATGTGTTCTTCTCTTGTTCAACACAGGGCTGGGAAAAACTCAGAAATGCCGTTCCATGTGGTTGTTAAGTCGCAGTCCAAAACCAGGTGGAGTGCAAGGACAGAAGCAGTGAAGCCCGTCAACAAGTACCTTGAGGATATACTTCAAGTTCTCCAGGACATGATAGACAATGAAAATGAGACCAGTGAAACAAGAAGTGATGCAAGGCAGCTGTATAACCGCATGTTGAGTTACGATTTTCTGACTTTGCTAGGATTTTGGAACAAAGTACTCATTCGCATTGCCCGTATTCAAAAGAAGCTGCAGGATCCTAGCATGAACTTCCACAATGCTGCCCTGGATTTGAAAGCCCTCCGAGTTCATTTTAATGATGAAAGAGAAGTGTTTGTTAATGAGTCACTCGAAGAAGGACTTGGTCTCTGTCAAGAATGGAATATTGAAGTTGAAAGATGTCAGAAACGAAAGAAACAAATGGCTGACGAGAACTCAAGAGAATGATGGGTTAACAGTCAAGGAGGAAATGGAATGTCACGAAGGGAAATGGACAAAAGGTTCACTTGTTTGCACGACATTGAAGCCATGTTTGGGTTCCCTCTCTATGTCGAAGAACTGTGATACAGCGCTGACAGTAACGACCTAAAGAAGAAAGTGCAAAAACTTGGGTAAATTGTACAGCTCTGGTGTTGATGGACAGCAGCTATATGAAGAAATTTTGGATTGCAGAATGTTGCTATCAAGTCAGGCCAACATGAAAATATCAAGACCTGAAGAGCTTCTCAAATTTATTGTTCAGTACGGAGATGAGAGAGTCTTCCCCAATCTTCACATTGCTATTCAGATAATGCTAACCATAACAATTTCCATTGCCAGCTGTAAGAGATTATTCAGCAAGTTAAAACTAATACTTTGGT